CATCAGAGGAAGATCCTGCTCACATTGTAGCAGGTCTGACAGTTCCAACCAGTGAGACCGAATATGGAAACAGGGGAGGGAATAAACACCCCATCCCACGAGAACCAAGAAGGATGGATCACTGTGGACAACAAAAAGTGCCGTCTGTCCAAGGAGAAGGCAGACCAGCTTAACCCACCTGGCAAATTCAAGGTGAAGTCTTACTGGGAGCACAGAACCCACTATGGCATTATTTCATACCTGGAATCACAACGCAACCTGAAGTTCAAGATATGGTTCTACTAGAGGGGAGAATCAATATTGACTCCTCTCAACAAGGAAATGTACACCACTTTGAAGAGAGTCATGGAGACAGATCGTTCCTTCACCCTAGAGGAACTGGACTCTCGGCAAAAGATCACCAAGGATGTAGTGATGCGATACCCGCTGATGATGCCCATCGAGGCAGTAGCAGCTCAGGCCAGTGTGGTGTCAGCTCAACGTCTCAAGGCAAAGACAGCAGGCAATGCACCAACCTGACAGGTCCTCATACAGCATGTAGGACCGCTGCCATCCCAGCTTGACCTTGGTTCTTGGGGCAGGTACAACATCAAGACCTTCATGGAAGAACCAGTTCGTTGTTTCAAGTGCCAGCGTTATGGACACCTGGGTGCACTCTGTCCGAACAGAGTAATCTGTGGTGTCTGCAGCCAGCACCACCCTACCAATGAATGCATCACCAAGCTGAAAAATATATCGCCGCCCGCATATACAGTAGTATGTCACTGATGTCAGCTAGGCCTGTATGTATACCTTGTACGTTTAGTAAATGAAGATATTATTATTATTATTATTATTATTATTATTATTATTATTATTATTATTATTATTATTATTATTTTCTCAGTTGTTTGTTGGGTTGTCTTATTCAAACTTGGGCAATGTATGATGGAAAGATACTTCTTAACGTAGACCAAAAATGAAAGCAATCAGACCATAAATAGCGGAGTTCACTTCTCGGCCATTAGCGGCCGCTTAGCAGTATATTTTTTTATGTTTTTATGGTTATATTCTCATTTTTTCGGTCTCATTTGATAGAATGAAAAATATACTACAGATATAGATATGATTTTGATTGCTTTCATGACGAAAAGTACCTTGAAATTGCGCTCACAGTAGCAAAAATGTTCTATTCTTTAGCGAATCTCAAGAGTAAACAAATGACGTCACCGTCCAATACCTGTCCGCCTGCCAGTCAAGAATGGGCTGACATTATTTATATAATTATTACAATAATGCAGTAGTCTGCATAACAGTAAATCTTCTATTTTTTTGTGAATAAAAATTCCAAATGGTAAGCAAGAGTAATATAAGAGGGGCCTGTAGCCATGACTAATGAACAGAGAAAATGTTATTTTAGTGCCAGGGATGTCTGCATTGTTTATGCTGGACCCTATTTTGAAATTGGCATCTGTTGAAATTTGTGTGATATCGGCCAAACTGCCAATTTCTGACCACTTTATTGGGTAGTTGAAACAAGTAAATGGGTGGTTTCTTGTACTCAGTTGACAGACTAGAAGTTAATAAGTGTATTAAGGTATACACAAATAAAGTTACATAGATTATCATACTTATCAGTGTATGTATAGAGAACCTAGGATAATCCAGAAAAGTCAGACCAAGTGACTTATTTCCAGTACCTGGCATGGGCTTGCCATACATGATTTTTGGTAAATATTTTTTTTTTCTTGGTTGTTTCTGGGCTATCTCATTGAAACTTGGGCAATGTATGATGGAAAGATGCTTCTTAACGTACAACAAAAATAAAAAAAAGACGGACGATAAATAAGGGAGTTCACTTTTCAGCCATTAGCCGCCTCTTTGCAGTATATTTTCGTATGGTTATGATTGTATTCTCATTTTTTTGGACTCATTTGATAGAATGGAAGATATATTACAGAAATAGACATGATTTTAATAGCTTTCATGAAGAAAAGTACCTTGAAATTGAGCTCAAAGTAGCGGAAATGTTTGATTTTTGCCGATGTTCAATGAACTTTGTGTAAATCAAGTTGGTTAATTTTATTAAGTGTATTCTAACCTAACCTCTCTGTAATCCGGCAAACTCAGTAATCCGGCACAGTACAGGTCCCAATGATGCCGGATTTGTGATGGAGGACCTGTATAAGAAATAATCTTGATAAGCATAATTTGATTAATGACACTCAGCATGGATTCATGAGGGGCTGTTCCTGCCTAACTAATTTACTAACTTTTTTCAGTAAAGCTTTTGAGCCCGTTGATCATGATAAAGAATTTTATATTGTTTATTTCGATTTTAGTAAGGCTTTAGATAGAGTACTGCACCAAAAACTTAAAGAAAGTGGCAGCTCCTGGGGTTGGAGGAAAAGTGCTGTCATGGATCGAGTCATGGCTCATGGACAGGAAGCAGTGTGTGTGCTTAAATGCGGTTAAATCCGAGTGGGGGTCTTTAACGAGTGGCATTCCACAGGAATCAGTCTTAGGTCCGTTGTTGTTTATAATGTATATTAATGACCTTGATGAGGGAATTACTAGTGAAATGAGCAAATTCGCTGATGACACAAAGATAGCTAGGATAATTGATTCAAACGTAAATATCATGGAACTTCAGGAGGATTTAGACGAACTCAGTACCTAGTCAGAAAAATGGCAGATAAAGTTCAATGTGGATAACTGCAAAGTTCTGAAGCTCTGGAGTGTCCATAATGCTAGCACTTGTAAGTTAAATAATGTAGAACTTAGCCATACAGATTGCAAAAAGGACTTTGGGGTTGTTGTAAGCAGCAACCTTAAACCAAGACAGCAGTGCCTAAGCTTATGTAATAAAGCAAACAGATTACTGGGATTTATATCAAGAAGTGTAAGCAACAGAAATGCAGCAGTTATATTACAGATTTATACATCTTAAGTAAAGCCTTACCTAGATTACGCAGCTCAGTTCTGGTCCCCATACTACAGAATGGACATAAATTCATTAGAAAACATTCAGCATAGAATGACTAAATTAATACATGCCATTAGAAGTCTTCCTTATGAAGAAAGATTGAAGACCCTTAAACTACTTTCACTTGTAAGATGAAGAATGAGGGGAGACATGATCAAAGTGTATACGTGGAAGATGGGTATTAACAAAGGGGATATAAATAAGGTTTTGAGGATATCCCTCCAAGAGAGAACCCACAATAATGGATTCAAATTAGATAAGTTTATATTTAGAAAGGATATAGGAAAGGACTGGTTTGGAAATAGGGTAGTTGATGACTGGAATGGTTTGCCTAGATGGGTTATCGAATCTAAAACCTTGGGTAGTTTCAAATTTAGATTGAACAAGTACATGAGTGAGAAGGGTTGGATTTGAGAGGGACTTGTGCATGAGTAAATAGAATTGTCAAAGTTTATTGCCTGGGTAGTGTTTATTCTGTTGGTGGGTTGGATTTGTGAAGGACCTGCCTAGTATGGGCCAACAGGCCTACTACAGTGTTCCTCCTTTCTTGTGTTCTTATGAGACAAGTGCCTCATTACTTGACCATATCTGGACCAACACGATATCCCCACTGCAAGCACCTATAATCACAGACAACACCACGGACCTCTACCCTACCTTTCTCATAACCAACTTATGTAAATTGCCTCAAGAAACAAAGATTTCATTTCACCTGCATGATGAGACATCAGTAAACAACCTAATACTAGCACTAAGTGCCATTGATTGGCAGACAGAGCTACCTGACAGCAATAATATTGACAACGATGTCAAAATTTTTTTACATGAAACCCTAAACACCTCTAACAAGCATTGTCCAATCAAAATGAAACAGATCATGGAAAAGAGACTAAACAGTGCATGGCTAACAAAAAGTATCCTCAAATCTATTAATAAAAAACACCAACTTGAAAAAGTTCCGATTAGGCCTAATTACTAAAGAATTAACTAAACGATACACATCAGTACTTGCAAAACTAATATGAAAATCAAAACAAATGTATTATGAAAATAGATTTATTGAAATAAAAGGTGATATGAAAAGCACCTGGCAAACCCTCTCCAAAATTTTGGGTTCTAGGAAACCATCTGGAAAAAGAGAGAGAAACTGAACCTCTCATACAGTCTATAGACACAGCCAATAAATTTAATGTCTTCTTCTCTACTGTAGGATCAAGGCTACTAAGTCAAATTCCCAGCTCAAATACCCAGCCGAATGAGTACCTCACTGACAACTACCCAGATACTCTATTTCTAGCTCCAACTAATTCCACTGAAGTCTCACTCGTCATTAAATCATTAAAAAACAAAGCAGGTGACCTAGATAACTTGCCACCATTCATATATAAAAAAGCTGCACATGAGCTGTCACCCATTATTGCAACAATGTTTAACAAATCTGCAGCATCCTCAACCTTCCCATCTATACTCAAGACCGCAAGGGTCTCCCCAATCCACAGAGGTGGTGATCCAACTGACTTGAACAACTATAGGCTCATATCAAACTTGCCCTTACTATCCAAGATATTCAAAAAAATAACACACAAGTGACTTTACTTCTACATTACATCCAACAACATACTTAACCCCTGCTAGTTTGGGTTTAGATGAATGACGCTATTATACAAATGCTTGGACTAATATACACAGCTCTCAATAAAAATGAAATATCATCTTGGCCTCTCTCATCCCTCCTGCCCCCTCCCTACCTGCTCATCTTCATTGCTTTGCAGATCCTCTTTTCCTGCCCCAGCCACAATCTTTCTGCATTCCTCTACTACTGTACATCACTTAATTTATTCCTTCCCCATACTGCTTCCTCTCCTTCATACCTTTCCCTTCCCATTCCTCCTCCTGACTTCACTTCATTGCTCTCCTCTCCCATATTTTCCTCCCTTTTCCCCTCATCCTTTTTTGTCCAGTTGTTTAATTGAAAATGTCAAGTGCTCATGTACACATAGGAATCACTCACTGAAGATGATATACATAATTTCAGGATGGTTCTCCAAGCAAGTCTGGTGTTAAATCACAATCTCCTTTGGCATTTACACCAACGTCGGTGATGAGGAAGATGACTGCTGACCGTGACCGCCATGAACGTTCTGATAAGGCAGAGAGGTAAGTCTAAGTATTTTGTGGTCTGTAGAATGCCTGCCCTTTAACCCTTAAACTGTCCAAACGTAGATCTATATTTTTTCAACATTTGAAAGTATGTAAAAAAACGAAGATCTTCTTTTGTTTTTTACTTTTGAAAACATGTAAAAAACTTTGATCTACATTTTTTTTGTTATACAGTGGTCCCTCGTTTTTCGTAATTAATCCGTTCCTGGAGCCGTTACTATAAACGAAATTTACGATTTGCGAATCAATTTTCCCCATAAGAAATAATGTAAATACAATTAATCCGTTCCTGACACCCAGAAGTATTAAAACAAAAAAATTTTTTACATGAAATATACATGTAGTACATAAACAATACAATAGGAAATGATGAATGAAACATTAACAGCGTAACACTTACCTTTATTGGAGATTCTTCTTAGTGTATGGGAGACTGGAGGAGGAGAGAGATTGGATTGTTTTCAGTTTGGAAGGGGAATCCCCTTCCAGCAACACCTCAGGTACCAATTACTTCTCTGGGGTTGCTTCTCTTCTCTGTTTCTTAATGCCACTTGGACCACCTTAAGAGTCACTCTAGTCCTGTCTCGCAAAGTAACTGTGGAGAGAGCTCTGTTTCTGGCGTCTCTTTAACACTTCCCTAAAATGGCCCAAGACTTTGTCACTGTACATATTTCTCACCTTCTTTACCACAGGCTTGGCACTAGAAGCTTTCTTTGGAGCCATGGTAGCTTATTTAGTACTTGCAAGCACTAAAATGAGTGGAATATTATGAAATATTTCGTAGGAGCACTTGAGGGGACCTTCACTCACTGGTAAACAATGCCAGACTGGCTGGGTAAGGAGGCCACCCCGGCTCACACCGTGCATATGCGTCCTGGATGAACTAATATTCGCGAGTCAACCTATGAAAAGCGAGTCCATGTTTATACGAAAATACCCCTATGATGGGCGAAATTTACGATTGCCGAGAACTACAAAAAGCGAGGGACCACTGTATTTGAAAATATGTAAAAAAACGTAGATCTACTTTTGGAGCACTACGCATGTGAATGTAGATCTTGTTGGACAGTTTAAGGGTTAAAGGAGGGATTTGAGATATTGGCTGTTTGGAATGACATCTAAACAATCATACCTGAGCGCCTCTCTAAAGACAGTGATTGTGTGAATGATGGTGAGTGTTCAATGATGGTGAAAGTGTTTCCTTTTTGGGTCACCCTGCCTCAGTGGGAGATGGCTGATGTATTAAAGAGTAAATGTGTGTGTGTGTTTATTTTGATTGTCAACAAACTAGCCATATCCCACCGAGGCAGGGTGACCTAAAATGAAAAATGAAAGCTCCTCTCTTTAAATTTAGCAATATATACAGGAGAAGGGGTTACTAGCCTCTTTCTCCTGGCATTTTAGTCGCCTCTTATGACATGCATGGCTTACGATGAAGCCCTGCTCCAAAACCTGGTGATCCTTGGTCAAGGACAGACAAGGTATACAAGAGATGCATGATAATATATACTGTACAGTGGACCCCCGGTTCGCGAAACCATCGGTATCCGATAAATCCTGTATCCGAAGCATTATATCGCAAAAAAATTTGCCTCGGTTCCCATTACAAAACCCGGTATGCAATATGATTCGTACGAGACGTGTCCAGTGTTTACAAGCCAGCCAGTGTGCGTGCATCTAAGGATGCATTCAGTACATTCTATATTATCCATATTATCACTGTTTTTGGTGCTTGTTTCTGCAAAATAAGTCACCATGGGCCCCAAGAAAGCTTCTAGTGCCAACCCATCGAGACCAAGGATGCTAATGACTATTGAAATTAAGGAAATGTGTGCAAAGTGGCTTGAAGTGCAAACCTTTTTTGATGAAAATCACCCTGACACGGCTACTGCAAACCGTGTTGGCAACCTGTACACTGACAATGTTGTGAACCACTTCAGAAAAGTCATAAAAGAACAAGAGGTACAGGCCTCTATGGATAGATATGTTGTGCGACAGAAGTCCAGTGACTCTCAAGCTGGCCCTAGTGGCATTAAAAGAAGAAGGGAAGTAACCCCGGAAAAGGACTTGCTACCTCAAGTCCTAATGGAGGGGGATTCCCCTTCTAAGCATTAAAAACTTCGACACACTCCCCTCCTCCCATCCCATCAATCATCACCAGATCTTCATTAAGGTAAGTGTCAATTATTCTATTGTGATTATTCTATTGTTATTGTAATTATTATATTGCATTAAACTTAATATATCATGTGGTAAAAGTTTTTTTTCATACTTTTGGGTGTCTTGCTCGGATTAACCCTTTGACTGTCGCGGCCGTATATATACGTTTGCGAGGTACCGTGTTTGACGTACATATACTCATAAATTCTAGCGGCTTCAAATCAGGCAGGAGAAAGCTAGTAGGCCCACATGTGAGAGAATGGGTCTGTGTGGTCAGTGTGCACCACATAAAAAAAATCCTGGAGCACGCAGTGCATAATGAGAAAAAAAAAACTCCGACCGTTTTTTTTTTAATTAAAATGCCGACTTTGTAGTCTATTTTCGTATAGTATTTGTGGTTGTATTCTCGTTTTCTTGGTCTCATTTGATAGAATGGAAACTATATTATAGAAATGGAGGTGATTTTGATTAATTTTACTATAAAAAGAACCTGGAAATGGAGCACAAAGTACAGGAAATGTTTGATTTTTGCCGATGTTCAAAAGTGAACAAATGATGTCATTGTCCAATAAATGTCCAAATAGCCATTCTAATACGCAGTCATGAATGGGTTGATGTAATTTTTACAATTATTACAGTATTGCAGTAGTCTGCATAACAGTAAATCTTCTATTTTTTGTTTGAATAAAATTTCAAAATAAAAAGCAAGAGTAATATCACAGGGACCTGGAGACATGACTGATGAACAAAGAAAATGTTATTTTAGAGCCAGGAATGTCTGCATTGTTCATTCTGGACCTTATTTTGAAATTGTCGTATTTTTTAATTTTCGTGAAATTGGCCAAATTGCAAATTTCTGACCATGTTATTGGGTAGTTGAAATCGGTAAATGGGCAGTTTCTTGTACTCAATCGATAGAAAAAATAGAGTTCTGAAGAAATAGTTATGAGTTTGGTTGACAGGAATAACGGAATTAGCCGAAAATAGGGCTCAAAGTGGGCGAAATTGCCGATTTTTAAATATCGCCGAAGTCGCTAACTTCGCGAGAGCGTAATTCCGTCAGTTTTCCATCAAATTTCGTTTTTTTGGTGTCTTTACAATCGGGAAAAGATTCTCTATCATTTCATAAGAAAAAATAATTTTTTTTTTTTTCGAATATTTTGCGACACCAGAAGCAACTTCAGGATTTGGCCCTTCGACAGTCAAAGGGTTAATTTGATTTCCATTATTTCTTATGGGGAATATTGATTCGCTTTCCGATAATTTTGATTTACGATGAGCTCTCAGGAACGGATTAATATCATGAACTGGGGGTCCACTGTACCTGGAAAGTACTCGAGGGCCTGGTCCCAAATCTGCACACTGCCATAACATACGGGAGTGAGAGATATGGAAGGAAGTGTAAAATAAACCTAGTGAGGAGCAGGGGTGTGGTGGGGACAATAAGGGAACATTGTGTCAATATCCTGGGCTCCAGACTTTTCAACATCTTACCAGAAGATATCAGAAATATGGCTGGGACAAGTGTAGAAGCCTTCAAGAGGAAACTGGACAAGTATCTTCACCAGGTGCCTGAACAACCAGGCTGTGATGGATATGTGGGACAGTGGGCCTCCAGCAGCAACAGACTGGTTGACCAGGCAAACACCAGACAAGCTTGGCCCATGGCTGGGCTCAGAGAATAGATTAACTCTCGAAACTCTTCAAGGGTGTATCAGATGTAAGGTTATCTGCCTAATGAACTTATTTAGCCTCTAAATCGACAAGATGGGACCACCACTACTACTACCACTCACTACTTTGCAACCGTCAATATGGCTTCAGGAAAGGTTACTCTGCTGCTGATCTGTTGTTAAACCTCTCCACTAAGTGGCACCAGTCACCGGATGAATCCAAAGTCAACTGTGTGGTAACACTGGACATTGCTGGTTCTTTTGATCGAGTATGGCACCAGGGCCTCTTGGCAAAACTGCAAGCACTGGTAATTGCAGACTTCATACTGTCTCCTCCATTGACCACCTTCAAGGTAGATCTTTGTGTAGTTCTCATTGGGACAGAGTCAGCAAGACATCCTACCGGGGGAAGTGTTCCACAGGGAAGCATGCTTGGACCATTGTTATGGAATGCCTACTTAACCCTTTGAATGTCGCAGGCCCCTTTCTGAAACTGTCGTAAGAAAAAAAATATTCTCTATCATTTCATTAGAAAAAAAAAAAAATTTTTTTCTTACGAAATGATAGAGAATCTTTTCCCGATGGTAATGACACCAAAAGTACGAAATTTGGTTGAAAACTCGCGGAATTACACTCCCGTGAAGTTAGCGGTCTCGGCGACATATATGCATCAGCAATTTTGCCTACTCTGAGCCCTGTTTTTCGTCAATTCTATTGTTCCAGTTGACCAAACTCATAGCTATTTCTATAGAGCTCCATTTTTTCTATCAGTTGAGTATAAGAAACTGCCCATTTACCAATTTAAACTACCCAATAAAGTGGTCAGAAATTGGCAGTTTGGCCAGTTTCACGCAAATTTAAAAATATGACAATTTCAAAATAGGGTCCAGAATAAACAATGTAGACATTCTTGGCACTAAAATAACATATCCTCTGTTCATTAGTCATGCCTCTAGGCTCCTCTTATATTACTATTGCTTTCTATTTTGATTTTTTATTCATACAAAAAATACAAAATTTAAAGTTATGCAGACTACTATATTATTGCAAAAATGGTATAAATAATATCAGTGCACTAATGAAGGAATGTTAGACTCCCCAGTTGATGTGTATTGGATGTGTGGTGTGATTTGCTTACTTCTGATCATTGGTAAAAATCGAACA